GACGGGGGTGGGGGATCCCAGTGCTGGGACGTGCCTGGGGTGGAGGGGCCCGTGGCAGGATGGGGGTGTGGGGACCCCAGCCCGGGGGTGTGAGTTCCCCATCTTTCTTGTTTCTTAAGGAGCCAGTCTGGAGTCAGATACCTTGACAGTGAGCACCATGTAAATACCTAGACAGACAGAAGTGACTGAAGCCCCGATAGGCTCTCAGGTGCACCTGGTAACTGCTTTTTGTGCTGTTCATGAGCAGGGCCTGAGGTTTTGTCTCTTTGTGCCAAATTCCAGCCACTCATATCTAGGTTTGGCAAAATTTGGTATTTGTTTGTTTATAATTTAGATGGGTAGAGTTGATGTTTATTGTAAGCATTTTAAAGATTTTTATCAATTAAAATTTTGCACAAAATTGTGTTTTAAGCTTTTCCCCCCTATTTTTATTTAAGTTTTCACATTTGTGAGGAAAACATGGGGGGGGGGGTCAGACTATGGAGTCGTCAGTCAGTAATTAATGACAGTAGACATTGAGATTCAGAAAGTTAAAGCTTTACAGCCATTGTTACAAATTGTCAGCATCATATGTCAAAATATACAAAGTAAATATCCTTAAATCAAACTCTAATAAGTTCTCAAGTAACATTTGTCTTACTTTGTAAATTTCAGTTATTGATGGAAATAGTTTTTGTCCATTTGTGTGTGTGCATGGTGAAATTGACTTTTATCAACATTTACCAATAAAAATCTAATCTTTCTATGCCTACTCCATCCTTCACTGTGGGTAATAAAATATTATCAAATTGGGTTGGATGTGCAAAGAACTGAAATGGTGCATGAGGTGCAGAACTTTCTCTTTCCTGAACACTATGGTTGTTCACTAAGTAAGGCCACTTAAACTTATTCTTGTTTTCACTATAAATATATCTATTATCAAAGATCAGAGATTCAATGACAGTGAATAAGAATATGGAAACAAATGGCTACATGTAAAAGAAAATCATAGATTTTCTGGAGACTAAACTTAACTAACAAGTTAACCTCCTGTCTAAGGAAATTTATCTCACACAAAGTTCTTTCCACTGTATTCAGTCAAGCCTCATTGAGACCCCCCTTTCATGAAGTAAAATTCACTGTCCATTTACTTCCTGGGTGAAGGATGACAGGGTGTCTTCTTTGACCCCCAAATATATTAGAGCAAATCTTTAATATGCACCTCAAGATAGGGTTCTTACCTCCTCTTTGCTTCTATCTGTTACTTTTCTATCAAGTTTTTACAGTCCTCATTAGCATTCAGTTCAAACTGGTGAGAAAAGATCCATTGTCAGTTATACAATAGTAAATTTACATATAAGCAGCCAGCTAGATAAACTTTTTTTTCTACGGCCAGGTTTACACTAAAAAGTTAACCTTGCTCAGGGGTGTGAAAAATGCATTTTTTTTTTTAAATGGAGATATACCTATCTCATAGAACTGGGAGGGACCCTGAAAGGTCATCAAGTCCAGCCCCCTGCCTTCACTAGCAGGACCAAGTACTGATTTTTGCCCCAGATCCCTAGGTGCCCCCTTCAAGGATTGAACTCACAACCCTGGGTTTAGCAGGCTAATGCTCAAACCACTGAACTATCCCTCCCCTCATTTATAAATGTGAAGGACTTTTTTCCTGCCGAAATTTACTAAACACAAATGAACAGTTAGTGAAATTATTTAGGTCTAAAGCAAGTTACTGTAAGTTGTGTTGTCAGATCTCCTGATTTTATCACAAGTCTCCTTTTAAAGAATAGTAGGAATTAATTTCAGTTAGGGAGTATAAACGTCCCTGTAGCGATGTAGTTAAGCCAACCTAACACCTGGTGTAGACAGCGCTAGATTTACGGAAAAATTCATCTGCTGATTTAGCTACTACCTCTGGTCTGTAGCGAGTGGCTACACTGAGGCCTGGTCTACACTGAAAAATTACATTGGCATAACTGTGGCTCTCAGGAGTGTGAAAAATCCACACCCCTGAGTGGCATAGTTAAACCCTAAGTCCCCATGGAGACAGCACTAGGTCAATGGAAGAATTCATCCATCAATCTAGCTACAGCCTCTTGGGGAGGGGGACCACCTGCACCTATGGGAGAATCCCTTCAGTCACTGAAGTGCTAAGCAGCTCAGATGTAGCCTTTTAACAGTAGACAGGCCATGAAGTGCTACAGCTGTGCAGGGGTGGCCAAACTTACTGACCCTCCAAGCCACATATGACAATCTTCAGAAGTTTGAGACTTGGGGCTTCAGCCCCGTGGGAGGCATCTGCTGGGGCTGAGGGCTTCAGCCCCACTCCTGCTGAAGCCCCAAGACCCCCTTCCCCGCTGGGCAGAAGCCCCTACCGCACCACCTCTCTGCAAGGCAGAGGTTGCCATCCCCCCCCCCCAATCTGGTAGGTGGAGAATGGGGAGTGGGGGTCTCCATGAGCCACACTTTAACTGTAAAAGAGCTGCTTGTCACTGGCAAGCCACAGTTTGGCCACCCCTGCACTATAGGGCTTGAGGGTAGACGAAGCCTGACAGAAAACCTGTTTTTCACCTTTGCTGGTGGTCAGTCCCTAGCTATCTTGTAATTTTCAGTGTATATACAGAACTCCTTATGTAACATCCATACATGATTTTTGCAATATAGATGACTGTTGTGACACCACCTTGTATTTGAGACCTCACGTGATGCTCCTTGGTGAACTAGAATATGTAAGCCAGACCCAGGAGATCCCTGTAATGCCTCTGCATCCCTTGTTTGTCCTTTGCCAGTTGGCACTAAGAGCTTCCCGGGTCACAGACAGTCATTCTAAACTTACAGTTTTAGCCTACTGATTCAGTTAGTTACAATCACTAAAGGGCATGGACCTGTCATTTTTACTTGTGGTAAAGTGTCCTGTGCCCTTCACGTGCTATATAAATGATGACACTCGTGTGCTTACATTAGTGGGACTGCATCCAAGTTTTCACCTTTTTTAATTTTGTTGCTCACAAACAAAGTGCGGTACAGGCTCAAGATCAAATATACTGGGCTGTTTGTTTAGAGGCCAATTGGGAAATCAAATGGGGTTGCCTAAGCTTACTTAATGAAACTTGCACCTAGACTTTATCTTCCCTGATGCCGATTTTATTGGCAAACTGATTTTGATCTTTCTCCTTCTCCTCTACTCTTGATGACTTTGGAGATGTCTAGTCCTCCTCATCTGCCTGTTACTGCTTGCAAGTTCCTTTAATTTACCACAATAATGCCTAATTATATAGCATGGGAAGTAGGCCATTTTTCTGGTTCATGTAATGTGATGCTCCTTCTTTGGGGCCTATAATAGGTCCAGAGAGTGTTTTTCCCTAATTCTGTCCAAAGAAACAAGGTTTAACAACCCTGTACAGTACAGTTAACTTCCCCTGCCTCCCAGATGAAGAGATGTAGTTGGTGTTAGGTCAGAGATAGACAACAGTTCTGCTTCATAAGTTCTCAGTCAGCCTCATGTCTCTTTATAAAGTAAGTCCTTTGGTTCTCAAGCCTCAGGAGAAGCTTAAGAGGTTGAATATAAGACTATAATAGTGAAGACTGCCTCTGATTTTATGCTGCTGTATGGCTTCGGGCAAATCACTTAACCTCTCTTCCTGAATTTCCGTATCTATAAGAATAGAAAGGATTTTAACTTTGCTACTTTACTTTACATGTTCTGTTAATTAGTTACCTCACAAGGCTGTTGTAAGAATCAATTTTTTAATGTGTGTAAAGTAGCAAAGTTAAAATCCTTCCTTTTCTTATAGATAGGGAAATTCAGGAAGAGAGGTTAAGTGATTTTCCCGAAGCCATACACAAGTGGCACAGTCATAAGAAATAGATTCATATTCCCAGTCCCATCCTCAGAATCATTCGTCTAGTGGTCCCCAACCATTCTCCACTTTACACACAAAGCCCACCATGTTTTTTTGGCAGGGACTCCTATTCTTAATGGTGTAATGTGACAGGTTTTATTTTTAATTCTCCTTCCTTTAGCATTTTCTTTGATCCAATTATGGTGAAAAAATGTTCAGAAAAGGGAAAAAACGACACAGCAGCAGCAGCTCCCAAAGCAGTGAAATCAGTACTAAAAGCAAGGTAAGCTGAATTGGGGGTATAGTATGTTTGTGGGACAGTTTCATTTGCTGTGAACCAACAGTTTGCAGAGAGCTTGGGAACTGGGACTCCTAGCACTTCCAGTCTCCTTGGCAGCTAGCCAGGTGTACAGGATTGTTTCTGGTGGAATGTAGTCAAAAATCAAACCATCTCCATGAAATGTTTTAATTTCAGTACATTGGCAAATTGACAAAAATGTTACATTTCTCTGACCAGCTCTAATCAGAAACCTTTACTGGAATTAAAGCGTTATCAGGTTAAGGTATGTTATTCCTTAAGAACTCAATCCCCTCTCCCCCTTTTTTTCTGGCTTTCAAGAGGGACGTTTATACTCCCTAACTGAAATTAATTCCTACTATTCTTTAAAAGGAAAGAGATGCCAATGTAGAAGCATTACTGTTTCAGAACTAGAATGCATCTGCACAAAGACAAATCATTGTTTTAATTAGAGATGACAGGTCAGTCAGCTGACTGATACAATATTTATACATGTTGAACTTATGTTGCCCTTTTAATAATAGTTTTAAATTTGGGTGATAGATTAAATTATGAGAGTCTTAGGGAGATCTGCATTCTAAAGAAGAAAAGTCATTTCGATTGTCAGAGTTAATCTGAATTTCTTTTACGAAATATTTGACCTTTTTTGACCAATAAAGTAACATTCCAAGTCAAATGATTAATTAAGGGGATTTTAGATTGTAAGTCCCTCAGAGTTTGGACTGCATCTTTATTTGTCATGTACAGCATCAAGCACACTGATGCTTAATAAATAGTAAATGTTGATAGTTGACTGCCTTGGTGTGGCTGGTTTAATAGAGTCTTTAATATGATCATGATGTTTGCGGAAATAAACATGTCGTTT